GGGGATGTGGCTCAAGCGGTAGCGCGCTCGCCTGGCATGCGTGCGGCCCAGGTTCGATCCTCAGCACCACATACCAACAAAGATGTTGTGTCCGCGAGAATTAAAAGATAAATATTAAAAATTATCTCTCTCTCTCCCCTCTCTCTTTAAAAAAGAAAAAGTTACCCCGGGATTGCAAAATACCCTGAAGTTTTCTTTCTCTCTCCCCTTCGAGTTTCTCCCACAATTCTTGACAGCCCGCTGCCCCTGTCGCCCCTGCTGTTCACACTCACGGGCGCGGGTGCCCTTCACGAAGCCCAGGAACACATGCAAGAGGACAAAAGTCGATAGCATTTTCTCAGCTGGGCCGTTGATTGACCACGTCACCCGGGAGTCCAGACCCACACTGCGAAACTCAGTTCCGCCATAAGCTCGAAGTGGAGGGAGGCGCTCTGAGAGAAACGAGAGTTAAGAGGATCAGTCAAATAGAAGCTGTGGGTGGGGTGTGTAGAGAAGAGGTTTACATAGGATGGTTTCAGAAACGATGAAGCCTTGAGCTATGGCTTCTTCCTCACCAAATGCAAATGTCATTACACCTACCTAGGAAAAAACCAGGGACTTTTGGAAAATTGTAGATATGAATGTTTAATGAGGGGAAAATATTAAACATGAAGATCAAATGATGCCTATGTTAACAACAAACGTTACGGGGGGGGGGGGAGCCTGAAAATACACAGAAATAAGATTCTGCTTTGGTGTTCTGAATTTGGATGATATCCTGCTTTTAATTGGAACATATCAACTTTCGTTTTACAGTCTTCAGTTACGGTCTGGGGCTTAGCTGGTTAGTTGCTTAGTCTCAGCAACCCACAAAATTATTTTCTTTTCATTAAAATAACTCAATTATGGGCTGGGGGTGTTCCTCAGTGGAAGAGCGCTTGCTAAGCAGTGGGTGGGGTGGGGCTGGTATTTACTCCAGTACGAGAAGTAAAAGGGACACCCACAAAAAACCCACAACCAACAACTGCAGAAACTCAGAACCAAGAACGCTCAGGATCATTATTTCTCCCAACTCTAGGGAGGCCAGGAAGATTTCAGCGCGGTTTAGTATGTGGACTCAAGTGAGCGGGGTCATTAAATGTTCTCAACTAATTATTTACATTTCTCTCTGACCAAGTAATTTTATTTTATTTTTTAAAAATATTTATTTCTTAAGTGTAGATGGACACAACACAATGCCTTTATTTTTATGTAGTGCTGAGGATCGAACCAGGGTCCTGCCCGTGCTAGGGGAGCGCTCTATCGCTGAGCCACAATCCCACCGGGGTCAGAGTAATTTTAAATTTGCAATTTGCACTCCTCTGATTACTGTGGAATATGAGCCTTTAGCATATGAGCACAAACATATTCTGCGTCTAGCTCTTCTGTTTTCAGGCGGCCGCACTTTTCTTGCCAAGAGGAACGAGAAGGATGTAGTTGCAAGAAGTGAAAAAAAAAAAAAAGTCCTCCCTGGTCACCCAACTGCAGCCAACTCCGTAGTAAACAACTTGCCCAGGAGTTCATCCCTTAAGATAGGAATCTAGAGAGCAGCCTGCCTTGCTTCTCCCCTTTCTCCCCCCTCTTAGAATTCACTGAGTCCCTGATAACTACTTTAATCTCTTTGGAAGGCAGGGTCCCCAGGCTCCAACAGCCTGCCACTAGGCCCCACCTATTAAAGGTCCCACAACATCTTAATGTCTACACACTCAGAACCAAGCTTCCAAACTTGAATCTTTGGGGGACACGTTGAAAAGTTCTCAAACCATAGCAAAGACTATTCAGATTTTGTTTCTTCTTTAGTTGATTTCAGCAGTTTGTGACTTTCCAGATATTTGATCTTTTCAACTAAGTTACCTAATTTGTTGGCATACAGTTGTTCATACATTCTCTCCTCTTAAAATTTTTTTTTTAGTTGTAGGCGGACACAATACCTTTATTTTATTTATTTATATGTGATACTGAGGATTGAACCCAGGGCCTAGGCAAGTACTCTACCACTGAGTCACAACCCCAGCCCCAAAATATTCTCTTAAACTTCATTTCTGCAAGGTCAGTGATAATGTCCTCTATTTTGGTTTTTATTTTGTTCATAGTTGTTCATAGTGTTCCCTTTCTTATCTTTTAAATTTCAGTGAGGACATTATTGATCTTTCCATCCTGACTTTGGGACTTTGGCTGTGTGTGTGTGTGTGTGTGTGTGTGTGTGTGTTTTCTCTTTTGGTCAGTCTAGCTAAAGCTTTATCAATCAATATTGCTAATCTTTTCCCAGAACTTACTGTTACTTTCATTGATCTTCCTCGTTGTCTTTCTGATTTTTATTTCATTAATTCCCAATCTTATTTTTACTCCTTCCTTCTTTCTATTACTTTGGTTTTAACTTGATCATCCTTTTCTAGTTTTGGAATGTGGAAGTTTAGTTTTTTCATTTTATTTTACTTTGCAGTGCTAGGGATGGAACCGAGGAACTCCCACACGATAGTCAAAAGTCTCTACTGCTGAGCTACAGCCCCAGCCCAGGTTATTAATTTTAAATAGTACTTTTCCAATGTAGACATTTACTGTTATGAATATTCCTCGAAGCATGATACTAGCTATATTCCATATACTTTCCTATGTTATCATTTTTGCTTACTCAGCTCAAAATATATTCATTTTCCCCTTTCTCTTTTGACTTGTTGATAATTTAGAACTGTGGCATTCAATTTCCAAATAATTCTGGGTTTTCAAAATTTTCTTCTATTGTTGATTTTTATTAATTCATTGAAGTTGGAGAATGCACTTTGTATGATTTCAGACATTTTACATCTTTCAAAACTTCATTTCTGAGGTTATGACCTATCCTAGAGAATGTGTTGGTGTGCTGGGCAAGAATATATATTCTTTATTGGTGGATAAGATATTCTATAGATGTCAGGTTAAGTCAGTTTTCACTATTTAGCCTTCTACATATTTGATGACCCTTAAGAATTCTCTAGGGCTGGGGATGTGGCTCAAGCAGTTGCGCGCTCACCTGGCATGCGTGTGGCCTGGGTTCGATCCTCAGCACCACATACAAACAAAGATGTTGTGACCGCTGAAAACTAAAAAATAATAAATATTAAAAATTCTCTCTCTCTCTCTCTCTCTCTCTCTTTAAAAAAAAAAGAAAGAATTCTCTAGCTAGGTGTTCTATATTGAGATTAGGGTATTTAGTCCAACTATTAATATTGAACTATTTCTTCCTTCAATTCTATCAGTTTTGTTTCAGATAGTTATATGTTTATAATCATTTTACCTTCCTGATGAATTGACCCTTTTATTATATTACTGTGTCCCTAATTTTCTCTAGTAACATTTTTCATCTTAAATCTATTTTGTCCAATATTAGTATAGCTACTTGAGATTTTTTTTTTTTTTTTGGTACCAGGATTGAACCCAGAGGTCTTTAACCACATCCCCTGCCTTTTTAACATTTTATTTAGAGACAGGGCCTTGCTGAATTGCTTAGGGCCTTGCTAAATTGCTGAGGCTGGCTTTGAACTCTTAATCCTCCTGCCTTCCAAGCCCCTGGGATTACAGGCGGTCACCATCATGCCCAGCTACTTGAGCTTTCTTATGATTACAATTTACATGGTATATCTTTTTCCTTTTTTTAAAAAAAACTTTCATCTATTGTATATGAATCTGAAGTATCTCTTATGGAGAGCCTATAGTTGGATCTAGTTTTTTAAATTTGTTCTTTTTAGTTATACATGACAGTATATTTTGACATATTAATACAAACATGGAGTATATCCTATTCTCATTAGGATCCCATTCTTGTGGTTGTACATGATGTGGAGTTTCACTGGTTATGTATTCATATATGAACATAGGAAAGTTATGTCAGATTCATTCTACTGTCTTTCCTATTTCTGACCCCTCCTTCTTTTCATTCCCCTTCGTCTAATCCACTGAACTTCTATTCTTCCCCTTCTTCACCTTATCATGTGTTAGCAACCACATATCAGAGGATCTAGTTTGGTTTTCTTTTTAATATTTATTTTTTAGTTGTAGATGGACACGATACGTTTATTTTATTTTTATGTGGTGCTGAGGATTGAACCCAGTGCCTCACACATGCTAGGTGAGCGCTCTACGTCTGAGCCAAATCCCAGCCCAGAGGATCTAGTTTTTTAAAAAATTAATTGAGTCATAAAATCTCTGCCTGTTGATCAGTATGTGCAGTCCATTCACGTTTAATGTTATTTTCCAAATTGTTGTTTTGTGAAATAGTACTCCGTCCATGGAATGCAATCCAATAACATAGTTGATTCACAGGTTTCTTTAAATTGCCTTTAAGACTAATGAATAATCAAGTAACTTGTAGGAGAACAATAGGTATACTAACCCTGAGAATAAACATGTGGAAACAAAGGAAGCCAGCTAAGAAATAACTGATAGTCATTGAAAATAATAAATAATTAAGAAATAAGAAGGCAAGATCAATGGGACTAACTTCTGATAGGGTCAACTGAAGATCATTGTAAAGCTAGAATTAATGGTCAGAATGATGTAGGACAGAAGAGGCTGGACACCCGAGGAATTTTCAGGAAGCAGCTTTATTAGCTACAGCAGTCCAGAGTTGGGCTATTGCCTAAAATTCTCTGGACCATGAGTCTGAAAATTCTTTGACCTTTATACTCATTAGGAGGAGAGGTTTGAAGGTTTACCTGAAAAGTACTTTTTTGTTTCATTTTTTAGGCTAGACAGAGGTTTCACAAGGTGTTTTTTTTTTTTCTTTTTTCCTGCAAAGCTGGTATTTACAAAAAAGGTGAAGCCATAAACCAAATGCCCTCTGCAGAAATTTTTGCTGCTATCCAGTGTGAAAATTTTTCTGACAAGAAGAGAAGCTCAATTGTGATGAGGGGGTCCTGGAGAAGCTTATATGTTACAAATATAGGTAGGGGCTCAATTTAGTGGGGGTTCCTGGTCTGCTCCAAGGGGTTACTCAATATATTTCAGAAGAAATATTACTTAGCCAGATACACTAAGATGAAGTTAGCCTGGTCCTGGACCTCGGCACCTGCATTAACATAGGACTGACCTGGGGAATGAAACCCCCCTGAATGGGAGGGTTGCCAAGACAGTTTTAGAAAGGACCAACTAGGGTCAGAAACTCCCCTGCCCAATGAGAAGGAGGAGTTAAACACTGGATTGGTGAAGGCTGCAGAAGGTGGACCCCACTTCTAGAAAACATCAAACAGTAATAAATTTGGAAGTAGCATTCATTATGTTTCCTTTCTCTGCTTGTACTCAACCCACTCTCTCAAGTGTGTTCTTTGCCTGAGCCTTACTTTCACTTGTAATAAGATTCTCTTTTTTGATTTTTTATATCTGTCTCTGAAGTTTCTCTTGTCGGGACACAAGAACTGAGGCTTGGACCTTTGGCTTTCCATTTGA